TAGTTGTATAGTGTGTAGTGTGTTAATATTTAGTTATGAGTCACTAGTTGTGTAGTGTGTTAATATTTAGTTATGAGTCACTAGTTGTGTAGTGTGTTAATATTTAGTTATGAGTCACTAGTTGTGTAGTGTGTCAATATTTAGTTATGGGTAATTAGTTGTATAGTGTGTAGTGTGTTAATATTTAGTTATGAGTCACTAATTGTGTAGTGTGTTAATATTTAGTTATGAGTCACTAGTTGTGTAGTGTGTCAATATTGAGTTATGAGTCACTAATTGTGTAGTGTGTTAATATTTAGTTATGAGTCACTAGTTGTGTAGTGTGTAGTGTGTTAATATTTAGTTTTGAGTCACTAGTTGTATAGTGGGTTAATATTTAGTTATGAGTCACTAGTTGTGTAGTGTATAATGTGTTAATATTTAGTTATGAGTCACTAGTTGTGTAGTGTATAATGTGTTAATATTTAGTTATGAGTCACTAGTTGTGTAGTGTATAATGTGTTAATATTTAGTTATGAGTCACTAGTTGTGTAGTGTGTAGTGTGTCAATATTGAGTTATGAGTCACTAATTGTGTAGTGTGTCAATATTGAGTTATGAGTCACTAGTTGTGTAGTGTGTAGTGTGTCAATATTGAGTTATGAGTCACTAATTGTGTAGTGTGTCAATATTGAGTTATGAGTCACTAATTGTGTACCATGCTTTATTTACATTTGTTTGTAAGTCGCTGATCGTGAGTTGTCTATCTTTTCATACGACATTCAATCTCCACACCATTTCTCAACGAACTTTATTTAACATGAAAGAAAGAATAGTTTATCTGAGAGATTACACTCTGGAGAAAAGGAAAGTAAAAAAATAAAATAAACATAAGCTTTACGTATTAGAAAATTCTCATTTTTAATCCGAAAACTTCAAAAGGAAAAAAAAAGTGTAGGAATACATTAGAAGAAAGTAGTTCCTTGTTCGGTGGTGTGGTCAGAGAGTCAATATCGTCCTGAAATCACATGAAGTATGAATACAGTAAATATTGACAACAGAAAACATTAGCAGAAATATACAACTAGTCGTATATAACGGCGAACTAAATAAACATTCTTAGAAATACGTTTTATTGGCAATTTCTCCGTTTTTATAAAGAATAACAAAATAAACTTTTCTAAATTAAATATAATTTCATTACACTGTTATTGTTAAACTTAATACGATACAAAATGGCTTTGTTAGTTTTTCGTTCTTAAGCACACAGAGCTGCATAATGAGAGGGTATCGGAATCCGATTTTTAGCTGCGCCACCTAGTTTGACGTGTAAGTTTTTGTAGCTTTCATTATTTTCATCTTATTTTTATGAACATAAAACCACAAATTATAAAAACAGTAAAAATTAACATTTAATCGATGCAAGAAAGCTAAAATAGGCTTAACTTTTATATTATAATACTGATCTCTAAATTATTTCTAGTGCCCTCATGAAAAAAATTAACCCTAACATTATGAATATCAATATTTATTGGTTTAGCTTATAGCAGTCATGTTTCCATAACGTTGAATAACATTGTAATAATCTTCTAATTCACCTTATTGGGTCATTATATGTTTCCTTCCATTACGAGGACCACTGAAAATTTCTGAGAAATTAGGTACTTAATTAGTTTTAAAAAATGTGTTTAAAATCCGCTAGGGTTCGACGACCCCTCAGGTAATTCTATAGTTAGCAAGTTATAAACTCCAATTCCCAATCTTCCACAAGTGACGATATAAATATTATAAAATAAAAAAATTATTCAGATAATTTCTGAAGTTGAAACTAACGTTTCGTAAGCTCCTTTGATTACTTTTTACCGGGTCCAAAACCGTCCTTCCAAATATCCTGGTCATCCAGTCCACCCAATACATCCTTCAAGATACAGTCGTTGCCGGGAGTGCCGAGTTTGCACGAGCGTCGTTGGGTGTTGTGTGTCTTAGACGGAACATTGACACGACCAGCAAAGTGTTGAGGCGTCTGTCGTCTACCAGGTGTCATACCGTTCTCCCAGTGGTCCTGGTCCTGACTGATGCCTTTTAGATCTACTAAGTCGCAGTTCATACCAGGCAAACTGAAGGCACCACAGGAACGCTTTCTGTGTTCCGGGCAACAAAACACCACTTAATACACAATAATGTTTCCCTCTCGTGCAACAAAACAACATTTAATATACACTAGTTAACTCAAAGTTAAAAGTGTTAACATAAAGTCACTAGTTAACTCAACGTTAAAAGTGTTAACATAAAGTCACTAGTTAACTCAACGTTAAAAGTGTTAACATAAAGTCACTAGTTAACTCAACGTTAAAAGTGTTAACATAAAGTCACTAGTTAACTCAACGTTAAAAGTGTTAACATAAAGTCACTAATTAGCTCAACGTTAAAAGTGTTAACATAAAGTCACTAGTTAACTCAACGTTAAAAGTGTTAACATAAAGTCACTAGTTAACTCAAGGTTAAAAATGTTAACATAAATTCACTAGAACGTTGAAGTATTGTTAATGCTATCACTAGTTAATTAAACTTTACAAGCACTTTGAGATCTGTAAGATTTATTTGTTTTAATCTACAGGAGAATTCTGCTGTTTTTCCTTCACAACTTACCGAAGGGATTCTAAGCTGTTGTCCACGTCTTGGATCAAAGTCTTGATGTAGTAGAGCGTCTTTTTTTTGGTCAGTAGGTCTTTCAAAAGACTGAATTAAGAAACGTAAAGAATATCACAATATTGTGAGTGTGGAAACGAAACTAATGTTTCGATTTCAAACTTAACTTGCCTTGATGTGTTAAGCCTAACTTTTTTAAAACAATAAAAACGTCAGTATGAATGATGTTTCAATTTCAAGTTCAATTTGCTGAGCTTAATATTTCGATAGTACACATTTTTTAACCATTTGGATGAGGTAATTAATCAGAAGGTATAATATTTCATGGCTATTGAAAAATGTTGGAACATGAACATGATTTCATAAACAAATTTCAGCATGAAACTGAGCAAAAAAAAAAGATAAAATAGATCCAAAAGAAATGAGCAACAGAAGATGAATAATTATATAAAAAAAATATATTTAAGTCAAACAAACCTGTACAAATGTCAAGCTAATGGCTAATTAACTGCCATACGAACATTAAGATTAGAAATACATGTGTTTAATTATCTGTTTTAATACAAATTTAGGGAAAAAAAACGTATTTATGTTAGCAGTTTGTTTGATAGATGTTTCCAAAATACTATGGCACACAGAGGAAACATTCGTACTTACTCAGTGACGTCTTCCTGTGCTGATGTAACCAACAGGAAACAGATTCCGACGACGCCGAGAAGAGTCAAGATTTTACAGTATTTCTCCATTACTGTTCTTAAAGAAGGAGAAACTATAAGTACAAACTAACCCTTTTTTTTTGTTAACTCATTACAACCAAGTTTACTAGTAATGTCGATTAAGTAAAGGTGGTTTGAAGTTAACTTTTAAAACTCGACACAGTTAAATGTATATAAATGGTAACATTATGTATATATAATACCCACAACAAGAATGAACATTTTACCATGAAAGCAACACGTGTATTACAGAACTATATTATTGTAAAGTTTCCAAGCTATTCGTCTAACTCAAGAATCGATGGCCAGAAATAATGCAGGTATTTTAATATTCTACTACGTTACTATGGTTTCTTAACAAATCATTAATGAATTTCTTTTTCTATGTGAATGTTGAATACATATCAGATACTCACTGGATACATGTTCTTTAAAAAAAAAAGTATTCTATTAAAATCTTACTTAATAACTTCCTTTGTTTCATAAGATCATCTATTAACTTCCTTTGTTCCAAAATATCATCTATTAACTTCCTTTGTTTCATAAGATCACCTATTAACTTGCTTTGTTTTATAAGATCATCTATTAACTTGCTTTGTTTCATAAGATCATCTATTAACTTCCTTTGTTTCATAAGATCATCTATTAACTTCCTTTGTTTCATAAGATCATCTATTAACTTCCTTTG